GGTCGTGCATGTTTTGTCTAGATTACAAGGATCTGAACAAGGAAATTGTGTTGCATAATTTTTCTATCTCGTTATTTATGAGATGCTGGATGAGTTTTTAGGGACAATCATCTTCTTGAAGATTAACCTAAAGTAAGGGTACCACCATATCAGAATGAAATCAAGGGATGTGCACAAGACCGCATTCAGGACCCATGAGGATCACTAAGAGTTTCTGGTGATGACTTTCAACCTTACCAACGTGCCCTCCACTTCTTAGTATCTTATGAATCGTGTTTTTTTAACCCTACCTCTGGAAATTCATAAGAATATTTTTTTACCACATCCTACTCTACTGTATTAACACTTCCGTTGCCAGGCCCCAATTCCTCGATGAAAAAAGTGAAGGGTTGCGTTAGGTAGTTGATAGCCAGCGTAAAACTTGTCTAATAATCATGACATGAATCCTTTCAAAAATTATGTTAATGCTAGGGCGTCCCCTGAAAGCGACGCACTGTATGGCCTGAATATAGTGACAAGTGTGCAAGAGCCGCTGCACCGGCTCCTGGGTGCAGTGTTAAATAAGCAAGGGTTCCCACATCAAAAACGGATGAGGGCAAAGAAGCTTGTTCATGAAACTAAAATTAGGATAGAAACTTGGAATATAAGCTCTCTTACAGGAAAATTAATGGAATTAATAGATATTATGATTCATAGGAAGATAAATATTATGTGCATTTAGGAAACTAAATGGGTTTGAGAGAAAGCTAAGGAGATTAATAGTTTAGGATATAAACTTTGGAATTCGGGTAGGAGTCGTACTAGAAATGGTATAGGTGTGATTATAGATAAGAGTTTGAAGGATAATGTTATACAAATTAATAAAATAGGAGATAGAATTATAGCTTTAAAGACTGTTGTTGATGCTAAGATTGGTAACATTATAAGTGTTTATGCTCCTGAAGTAGATTTGGATATGAGTTCAAAATTAAAATTTTGGAATGACTTAGAAGAATTAATAAAAAAGATACCTTTTGAAGAAAAAGTTTTTATTGGAGGAGATTTAAATGGACATGTTGGTAGAGAAGTAGATGATTTTAAAAACATCCATGATGGCCATGAATTTGGAATGACAAATGAAGGTGGTAAGACTATATTAGATTTTTCTTTAGCATGTGATTTCTTATTTGCTAATACATTTTTTAAGAAGAGAGATGAACATCTTATCACTTATAAAAATGGATATAGTAAAACGCATAATGATTATTTTCTTATAAGAAAATTAGATCGTTTAGATTGCAAAGATTGTAAACTTACTCCGAGTGAAAATTAATGTTAGTGAAAATTAATGTACCTAACATCGATTATTAGTTTTGGACTTTAAGATAAAATGACAAAAAATAAAAAATAAAGTACAACGATTTTCAAGGATTAGATGGGGCATTTAAAGAATATTAACAAAAATATTTTTTAGAGTAAGATTTTAGATCTTAAGATTCTGTTCATAAGGATGTGAATATTATATGGGAAAAAGTGGTTTGCGACATTAAGAATATTGCAAGAGATGTGCTTGGAGTTTCGAAGGGAAAAACTACTAATAGTAAAAATAGTTGGTGGTGGAAAGATAAAAAATAAGAAGAATTGTTATAAAAATTAGTTTAGATGTAAAAATTCTGATAATTGAGAAAGCTATAAAGAGGCTTGTAAGGAATCTAAGAAAGATATTTGTGATGCAAAGAGCTTATCTTTTAATGATTTATATAATAGATTAAATACTGAGGGAGAAAGATATATGTACAGTTAGCCAAACAAAGAGATAGTAGTAAAGATTTAGTTCAAGTGAAGTGTATTAAGGATGAAGATCAAAAAGTACTTTTCTTAGAAGATTATATTCAAAAAAGGTGGATGAGGCATTTTGCTAAACTTTTTAATGAAGAATGTAAAAATACGATTGACTTTAGTAACTTTATCACCCTAAATGAAAATGAAGATTTTTTTTTCTTGGCGTATTAAGTAAAACCAAAGTTAGAGAGGCTTTGGAGAAAATGAAGTGTGGAAAAGTTGTTGGACCTGATGATATTCCAATAGAGATATGGAAATGCTTATGAGATGGAATTTCTTGGAGAATGAGTTTGTTAATTCCTATTTTTAAGAATAATGGTGATGTACAGGAGTGTGCGAATTATAGAGGAATTAAGTTTATGTGTCATACTTTAAAACTATGGGAGCGAGTTATGGAGAGTAGGTTGCGACGTGATACTAATGTTTCTCAAAATCAATTTGGATTCATGCCGGGTAGGTCTACCATAGAAGTCATACACTTATTGAGAGGTTTGATGGAGAAATATAGAGATAATAAGGAGGATCTACATATGATATTTATTGATTTAGAGAAAGCATATGATAAAGTTCCAAGAGAAGTGCTATGGAGAGTTCTTGAAACGAAAGGAGTTAATAATGCTTATATTCAAATCATTAAAGATATGTATGCATGAGCTATTACTTGTGTTCAAGCACAAGGTGGTTTGACCAAGTATTTTCCTATTTCGGTTGGATTACATTAAGGATCAACCTTAAGCCATATCTTTTTGCTTTAGTCATGGATATTCTCACTAGACATTTGCAAGAGGATATACCTTAGTGTATGTTTTTTGCTGATGATATTCTTCTTGTTGATAAGACTAGAGAGAGAGTTGAAGGTAAACTTGAATTATGGAGGTCAACTTTAGAGTCTAAAGATTTTTGCTTGAGTAGATCTAAAACTGAATATATGGAGTGTAATTTTAGTAGCAACAAACCTAGTGAGGGGATTGTGATTTAGGCGATCAAGTCATTAATAAGAGTACACGTTTTAGATATCTTGGATCTATAGTTCAGAGTGATGGTGAATAAGGAAATTATTAGCAGAATTCAAGTTGGATGGTTGAAGTGGAGGAATGCATTGGGCTTATTGTGCGATAGAAAAGTCCCCCTCAAACTTAAGGGAAAATTGTATAAGATGGTGGTGAGACCTGCAATGCTTTATGGTGTCGAATGTTGGCCATTAAAAGAGAAGCATAATACTAAGTTAAGCATTGCAGAAATGAGGATGCTTAGGTGGATGAGTGGCTTGACCCTTAGAGATATGATACGAAATGAGCATATATGTGAAAAGGTTGGAGTAGCTCCAGTGGAAGATAAGATTAGAGAGAGTCTCCTTAGATGGTTTGGTCACATTAAACGGAGGTCTTCCGATGATCCGGTTAGGAAAGTTGAGGTATTAGATTTGACTTTTGTTAAGAAAGGTAGAGGTAGATTTAAAAAGACTTGGTTAGAAAATATTAGAAATGATCTTTCTTTATTAGATTTAAATGAGAATTTGACTTTTAACCGGACACAATGGCGAAAAAGGATTCATGTAGCCGACTCCACTTAGTGGATCAAAGGCTTGATGTTGTTGTTGTTATTGTATCATGCTCTACAGTCGTATGGAGGAAGAGCATGTGGGGTAGCAGAGGACTGTACTAGAGACTTTGGAGGAGCACCAGCTATATGCCAATCTAAAGAAATGTTCCTTTGCACAGCAACAGGTGGAGTACCTAAGACATGTGGTAAGCAAAGCAGGGTTAGCAACAGACCAATCTAAGATTAAGGCTATGTTGGATTGGCCTTTGCCTAAGAACCTAAAGGAATTAAGAGGGTTCTTGGGTCTCACAGGGTACTACCGAAAGTTAGTACGGCGGTATAGCATGATAGCAGGACTACCGATGGAAAAAAAATTGAAGAAGGACAATTTCAATTCAGGAGAAGCAGCAACCTAAGCCTTCAAACAGTTAAATCAAGCCATGACCAACGTGCTAGAATTAGCACTTCCTAACTTTAGTAGACCGTTCATGGTGGAAACAGATACATCAAGATGCGGAGTAGGGGCATTACTCATGTAGGACCATCGTCCCATTGCTTATTTCAGCCAGACACTCATAACCATGGCGAGGCTCAAGTCTATATATGAGCGGGAGTTGATAACGATTATTTTAGCCATTCAAAAAATGGCGATCATATATGTTGGGGGACACTTTATCATTAGGACAGACCAAAGGAGTTTGAGGTTTATGTTGGAGCGGGATGGTGATTGAGGAGCCTTAGTGTGGTTATCCAAGTCACTTGGATATGACTTCGAAATCCAGTATTGCCTAGGACTGGAGAACAAGGGCGTGGATACACTATCGAGGAAGACGAACGAGCCACAATTGACAACTCTATTAGTATCAATGGTCCTAGATTATGAAGCCTTAAGACAGGAGAGTGAACAAGATGATAGCCTGAGGAAGATTAGAGTAGAGTTGTTGCAGGACCCCAACATGCAACTTGGTTACACGATGAGGGGGGCTCAACTGCTACATAATGGGCAATTCATCTTACCAAGGACATCGGTGTACATTCCCAAGCTGTTGCAGGAGTTCCATGGAAGCAATTAATGCCAACTTCCTCTGCATCATTGATGACGACGAGTTCAGCCAGGCGTGGTACTGGAGACTCAGCATCAAGAGAAGCCACAACAGTTTGCTCAACAGCCATCAACTCTCTTATCAACATCATCAAAAATTTGTCAAAGCTTAAGTACATAACTCTCAGGGGAACAAATAGTAGTTAATCTCGTGATATATTCCCCTTGTGATACTTGAAGGTCATCCACTGCACCAAGTTCCTTTTTTTTTTCCTTGACAAACGCTGCAACAGATTGAATTCTTTAAAAATTATATTAGTCTATTTTTTGCTTTTCTGTCACAAGAAGAACTTCCTGCAAACTCGCTGCTAGCAGGACAACGTCCCCAACCTCGTCCTTCATGGGTTTGGCGAGGACCGAATTTCGACACCCTGAAACTAAGGGGTCATCCTCATTCATGATGGTGAGCATCCTATAGGAACAAGGGAATCAGCAATGGGAGGCTAGCCAACAAGGGTGACAGCAGGCACATGATAATCAACCGAAACATGCATTTCAGTAGTTCTAATAACAGAAATAAATAAATAAGAATAACCTGGCCTCGTTTAGAACAGCTAGAACCCTCTTCTGAAGAACCAATACTTCTCCGGCAGCCTTCTTGCCAGCCTCTACACCTGCACAAAGAAAACTGCTATTGAAACGATTGACATCAATCACATAAATTATTAGAAAAATTATAAGGCACTGAAATCTCCCAGGTTCCAATGTTTACAAGGTTCATACCAGGTTGATGATAAGCATTAATGTTGACTAGAGATGCATAGATCCCAACAGCTCGTTCATAAAGAGCAATGAGTGCCCCTACGGATCTTGGGTTCACTTCTTGCACGGTAACTGTAATGGATTCCCTATCATTGGCATAAAGGGCGGAGCGTGTGCCCTATAAAACAGAAATTTTGAATGAAACAGAATAGTAAGAAATCAGTCCAACAAAGGTCAAACTGACTGTTGAAATCATTCGGTAAAAAGATGACCGCATCTAAATGCATTAATTTTTAAGAAAGCTAATGATAAGGTATAAGAATGCTATCAACATTTATTCTCTAAGCGCCTAAGCTCCTCATGCCAAATATGTCCTGTATGTAAACGTTACTTTCTATTCATGTTCATCCACTTAAAAATGTTTTACGTACCTCTCTACAACAAAAAAGATTACATACCTGAAGCATTCCAAATAGGTAGTCACCACATGTAACTCCTGGTTCAAGCTCCCAATCATGAGCTGGGGGTCGGTCCCGCAAGACTTCAATGAAAGTAACAAAGAAATTATGTACCCCTTCTCTAAGTTGCTGAATGTAGCTGCCAACCAAAAGCAAACCAAGATAGACACCACCTCATCAATATGGGAGGAAATTTACATGGGAATCAAAACTTACGCATGCTGATCTGTGCTTCCTTTGTTTCCATATACTGTAATTCCTTGGTTAACCTGAAATGAAAGTGTGTTTCACGAGTAAAAAATCCACATTAAAACTATATTACATCAACGTTTAACATGATCCACTAGCTGATACGTGCTTCCTTATTTACCTTCGAATTACAGAATGCGAAAATTTAAATACCTAAACACTACTTTGATGGGAGAAGATATTAAAAACAATTTTCAAAAAGCCAGTACCGGGAAATCATATATTGGTTTAGGGCATTATTGGCCAGACAAAACTTAATTAAATTTGGTATACAAAGCCACTAATGTAATACAAAATCCAGGTTCAAGTCAAGAACAGTCCCTCTTCAATCCAGTAAAACTACATCCATTAATCCCTCCCAGGACCTTTCATTTCTAGGGACTCAACACATTAGGTACACCTATTATAAAGACAATGTACACTCTCGTATGCCTAATCAAATATTTACAGGTAGTCGACGAGTCATAACAAGTGAGCTCATATCTCGTGGACCTCACAATGAGAACTCACCCGAGGGACCCCTAACTCAAGAAACTAGTCAAAGGGAAGTCGCTTCCAACAAGAAAAGTCAAGGGTTCACACAAACCACTCAGCATGGGACTCGCCCTCCAATAAGAAGCACTGACTGAAGCTACTCGTTGCTACCTAGGAAATTGTCAACCCAGCTATAGAAGAGAGAACTTCCCAAGATGGTTTCAGTTCGTCCTATCACAATTAGCTAACCATAGAGCTGCAGCCCCCGAAACTTGAACATACCTCCCACTTCACATCAATATAGGCTCCATCAAAGGTCACCAATGACCTCAGAGTACACTCAAGCAACAACCCTCCAAGTTCATCCCTCATTGGCAAACATGCCTAATCCTACTCGCTTATACACTAAATAAAAGAGAACTCACCACGTGACATAATAAAAATAAGAGATGCAACTATCCATTGAGCTAGCTAGACTACGACACGTATCTAAAGCAATCTGTACAAATGGTCATTAAATATTGTACTTTTACTCTTTTTTAATATAGCATTTTCTATAGCCCTCATATACCTATAAATAAATGGTAAAAAAGAATATTTTGAATATTTTTGCATTCTCTATAGACAATTGAGCTAGCATAACAATTTCCATAAAGCTTTTCCCCCTTTTTCACCATTATCGCACAGATTCTCAGGTCATAACCCTAAAACCTTGCTTGCTAGTATGGTCAAATGTCCACCACAGGCAACTTAGATCCTACATATTGGAAGTTGCGGTGAGTTTGGATTGATGCTACAGACTTGAAGACAAGCACAATTTGATGAGCAAACCAACATCGAATCATCAATAAATATGGAGAATCTAAACTACGCAACATGCCGCAACCTCATAAGATGGAAGAAAGATTGATTAAAATGATTCAGAATGCCTTAGTAGGACTAAGGAGGCACATACAAAGAAAGAACACCCCGAACAAATCATTTGACTCGATAATTCTCAACACCAGGCCAAAGAGCAGAGAAGTTGTCACAACCCGATCTGATTTAACCCGATATCACACAGGTCATACTGTGACAGATTGTGGCTTGGGTCACCCCAATATCTGGTTGGAGAAGTACTGAAACAAAACTTCTAATTAATAAACTACACAAAGCCACTATTGAAAGCAATATATAGCGGAACAGTACTGAATCTCAACATGATTTCTTACATATCATCCAAAATATCTACAATCTGAAGTTTATCAACTACAACGTTTGGCAACATATAGAATAAAAAAATAAAAGTCAAGCCTATAAAAATAAAAACTAACCAAAATATATCTACAAAACAAATTAGAGCGTGCTATCCAAACTACTCGGCTCGCTTCATACATTTTTCCAAGCCTGAAAACAAAAGCAAAAGCAACGATGAGATAACACATCTCAATAGGCTATCGCAGCATAAAACAATAATCAATAACTACAACCAAAAGAATTGAAAACAGAACTGAATCATATAATGAAATTGCATACAATTAAATAAATACTAAAATTAATTGAATTATAAACAAATAGTTCATAATTATTATTAGAATATCTCTGAAGCACTATTTTTAGATGTCAAATACATTTCTGAGTAGACAAAAATCATTGTTTTTTCAAAATCACCAGGCGAAAAAATTTTCAGAATATACTCAAAATGTTTATAATCTCAATCTGTAAATATATAGAAAATTACATAGTAAAAATATTACGAAAGTAAAGTTATTCACATTTTTCAATAACAGAAATACAAATTTTAACGAAAAAAATACCAAAAAATATCAAATTATTGAAAACTGAAATAAGTAAAACGTAACCCACCTCGAGACAAGCAAATTTTTCAACTAGGTTGACGGAAAAAACTTACTCTATGACCTCCAAACATTAAGCTTCTTTTTCTCTCTTCTCTCTCCTCTTTTCCCCCACACTTTTCTCTGTTAATAGAAATAAAAAGAGAAAATGCGATTAAAATGGCATTTAAATAAAATTTATAATGGTTTTAGATTTTTAGATAAAATAATAATATAACAATATCATTATAATCAAATTTCAATATAAAATTAATATAAATCTTTTTTGGAATTAAAATTTTTTTTTAAAAAAAAATCCATAAAATATCTCATTTTATTTAAAAAATTATGGTGAAATTAATTTGCAAAATGGACACCTGATTGGCCCAAAAACCCCACTTGTACAGAAAGATGCTAATTTCTTAAGAATTTTTACTTGTGCTCAAAAATTACGAAAAAAAATGGAATGAAAACACACCAATATTTATATATTTTGGCGAAGACAGTTTGTGATTTGAAATTTAATGTCTACTGAAAAAATTAACTGTTGTAGATAAAAATGGCTTTTAAAATTTTTTAGTTATAATAATCCGCCCACCTTAAATAAATGTTGTCCTCGACATTCCAGACCAAAATAAGTTAGAATAAACCTAGATATAGCAGACTCATCTTTAATTCCATCTCCCAAATAGCCTCTCTAGCGATCATGTGCTTCCATTGTACCTTTAACAATTGAAATTTGTTTGCTCCTTAATTTTCTCACATTATATGCCAGAATCCTATCCGGCTCTTCTCTATAGTGCAGATTCGAATGAACCTCAATATCATCAGCAGATAATCTCTTTCTATAATCAGATACCCACTTCCTCAGAGAAGATACATGAAATACACTATATATATATCTGACATATGATCAGGTAACAATAACCTGTAAGAAAAAAATTACCAATCCTCTCTATGATCTCAAAAGATCAAATATATCTTGGAATGAACTTACTAATACTTCCATTTCCAATAACACCTTTCATCAAGCTAACTTTAATATAAACAAAATCACCAACCTGAAATTCGATCAGCCTGTGTTTCTGATCATAATATTTCTTCTACCTACTATGTGCATATCTCAATTTTTCTCTAATCAAATTGATATTTGTTGTAATATCGTCCACAAAAATAGACCATATCACCTTTCTATTTCCCACCTCTGTCAAAAACAAAGGGGTTCTGCACTTCCTACCATACAGGGCTTCATAAGGAGCCATGCCAATGTTGAACTGATAATTATTATTATATGCAAACTCTATTAGTGAAATATGATCCTCCCAACTGCCGTAAAAGTCTAAAACACAGAGACTCGAAAGATCCTCCAATACCTAAATAGTCCTTTCAACTGTCCGCCTGTCTGTGGATGAAATATTGTACTGAAGTGCAATTTTGTGCTCATACCCTGTTAAATACCTCTTAATAATATGGAGATAAATCGATCATCATGATCGAATACAATCACTTTCGGCACACCATGTAATCTGATAATGTTTCTAACATGTATTTTGTATCAATCTGCCAATCAGATCAGTCCTTCGGATCGGAATGAAATACACAGACTTCGTTAATCCATCGATAACAACTAAACGACATTATGTCCCTACCTCAATCTGAGAAAACCCATAACAATGTTTATTGTCGCTTCCTCCCATTTTAACTCAAGGATAGGTAATGCTGCAAAAGATCGCCTGGTCGCTAATGCCCAACCTTCACTAACTGATAGGCCTCACACTTTAAAACAAACTCCGCTATCCCCGCCCTACCAACATATATTTTCCAAATCTCCACATATCTTAATGCTTCCTGGATGAATAGTGTAGCCCGAAAAATATGTCTCACATAGGATCTCAGCCCTCAATCCACCAACAAAAGGAACCCACAATCTATCCTTACTAAAAATGACTCCATAATTAGATATTCAACGCTTAGGTCTCATACCAACCTTAATCAAATCAATTAACTTAGATACTCAGTTTCTGACTTCTGAGCTTCCTGGATTCTTCCTCTCCAGCAGTGGTGAGCTTCTGCTGGACGTCAGGTCTTGTTTGCAAAATAGGAAAGGAAGGGCCTGATCAGTTGGAGCTTCACATGACAGTAGGTGAAGAAACGAATGAACAACTGTTGGGTATAGTGAGGGAGACGGACAGGGAGCTGTTCGGCTTCTTGCTTGAGGGAGTGGAAGAAAATGAGAGCTGGAGGCCTGAAGTTTTGGTTTCGACAAGAAAAGGCAAGTGACGGGCCGAAGCTTAGGAAAATTGGAGGAAAGCCAAAAAACAATAGAGCTCACTTAATCTGTTTTTAAAGAGAGCATAGACCATCTTTCAGATCACGGGCAGCAGTCCGAGGTCTTCAAGGGATATCCGGGATTTACTGCCTGATTTTCGGAGATTTATCTGAACTCATAGCAGGGATACGAGGAAGAGATACAAGTTTTGACATTAATGGCGATTTGATTTTATAATTTTGACTTTTTTTTCTTAATTTATCAAATTAACAGTAAAATTAATGCCATGTACTCATTACTTATCCTCTTGAAATGACAGCGATGTGGTTAAAATTGCCTTGAGTTGCGTGCATTTCCTCGAAATCTGTGATGTTGGGTTGGGGTCCATATCGATTTACATGCGTGATCTTATTTAAACAAATCGACAGTGAATTTGGGATATCGATGATGTTCCAGATGCAAAGACGACGTCCGTTTGTTAATCGGACATCGTT